TAGTACACTAACAAGACTCGGAACCCGATTGCTTGTTAAATTCTTATCAATATACTACGATACCACTTAGCCAAATGTAGGTCATCTTGCTTGCGATACAAATTACGTTTTTATTACAAGCAATAGCGCTCACTTTCATTCTCGGGCTGTTAGTCAATGGTGGGAATATGCTAGCCACGTTCATATTTAAATTGAACGATACGTTTCATTACAAGGAACTGGGCGCACTAATTGATATTAAGAATTAGAGGTTTCTTGTGGCAAGAGCTGGGAATATGCCAAGTTCACACATGAATTGAACGATACGTTTCATTCAAAGGAATTGGGCTTACTAATGAATGTGAAGTTGTCCATAAATGTGTCCACATTTCCTTTCATGAGTATGTTTCTATTTCTTTGGTCAGGGTTATGCTTCATTGTGGAGACATGACAGCCATGTTCACATGCCCATCATACAGTAGGTTTCATTACAAGACGACGACATGTTAATGCATTCCTGCTTCTCAATGTAATGTTTCGCGGAAAAGTGTGGCAATTCTATTTTATCCTTTGTTCAATAAGTTTCTTATCACAGCAATGACAAAGTCTTATACATTCTGAGGTTGAGACCTGAGTACAGAAACCTATTGCCAAATCTGTTTTGAGAATTGGTATTATTAATTGGAAATAATAAATTCTAATTTTAGGCTGCAATTGTTTTCACTAGAACTCTAATTTGCTTATCACACTTGTGTAGTGCTGTAGTCAAACGTTTAACCGTCCGGTATCCGACCGCCCATGGCGGATTCCGTTTTCAATTGGACGGTTTCGTTTTCCTGATTTTTTTCTTTTTTCTTTTTTTTTTCTAAGTCTCGATTTATGCCCCTCCACCTGGCACTATGCCTGGCAATGTCTCCCAGCTCAGTAATCTGTGTGTTGACCAAAACTAGAACAGAAAACTAGAACAACAGTCCAATTTGTCTGTCATCTTGGTTTGAAAGTGATCTTTGTAATAGATCTCATCATCTCAATATGTAGTTTATAATAATAATTCATCCAACTTTTACACAAGGTTCTATCCTAGGTCCTCTACTGTTTTTAATTTACATTAATGATATTACACATTCTTCTAAAAACGACATTGTTATTATTATTTGTTACAAGTTCACAAGCACAAATCGGCCCCTTTAAATACATCTCGCAGTTAAATGAAAGCCCTTCCCGCTTTTTCACACGGACCTGCTGCCGAAAAGAAAAAAAAAAAAAAAAAAATTTTTTTTTTTTTTTTTTTAATTTTTTTTTTTTAAATCGTTTAACCGAAAACCGTTTGGTTTTGACTGGCGGTTAAACGGAATTGGAGATATCCGTGATGTTACAGCACTACACTTGTGTATTCTTTTGTTTTGATACAGACATCCAAACAGACTGCAACTCAAACATACATGTAAGGAGAAGATTACCCTGTGTAGTCAGACTGACAGAAAGAAAAGGACTAGAAAACAGACAGACAGACAGACAGACAGACATAAGGTACGGAAATACAGAACAAGAATGCAGACAGAAACTAAGAAAAGAAGAAGCACATATCGTCGCTGTTTTCACGAAGTGACGGTAGTGAAAAAAAATTGCATTCACTTTGCGTTACAATTTTCCTCACTACCGTCACTTTGTGAAAACAAGGATGATATGTACATGTATGAAAGAGTTAGAATGACAGACAGACAGAAAGTAAATACAAAACAAAGGAGACAGACATACAGACAAGTGAAACATAATGAACAAGAAATGGCTGAACAGCATGAGACTAGGGCATGAAAAGACAGACAGACAGAGATGCACAAACACATACAGGACCTACAAAAAGAAAGGGCTCCTTGCTTTGTAACGTATCATTACAACACTTCAGTGAGCTATAAGCCTATAATTGAGGCTTAAGTTGCAAAACATGCCAAAACTCCAATGTAGAAATCATAAAGATAGACAGAGACAAAGTGAGACAGAAAACTATTACAAAATCGAAGGAAAGTAAAGACTCTCCTTGATTTTTTGATTTGTTGTGTATCATCACTACACATTAGAGGAGAGCTGCAAACAATCCCATACAGCAATAATGCATTACGACATCAGCTAGCTATAAGCCTACAAATACAGACTTAATTTGCAAAACCTGCCAAAACTCCAATGTATAAATCATGAAAAAAGACAGAGAGACAAAGTAAGACAGAAAACTATTACAAAATCGATAGAAAGTAAAGATTCTCTTTGATTTGTTGTGTATTACTACAGAACAATCCCATACAGCATCATTACAACACTTCAGTGAGCTACACATGTATAAACCTATAAAAAGAGGATTAAGTTGCAAAACATGCCAAAAACCCAAGGTAGAAATCACTGTGAGACAGAAAACAATACAAAATTGACAGAAAATAAAGACTCTCCTTGATTTGTTGTGTATTACTTCAGAATAGAGGAGAGCTGCAAACAATCCAATCCTATCATACTTGCACTCCTCAACTGAGCAAATAACATGCAATCTTCCTGTCACCACATTGACCTCTCTGTGACCTTTGACATAAGGTGACACCCGAGGTCAGATAAAGTGGGTCAGTGCACCCTGTCTCTCTTGTAACCTCTGGTGGCAGGCCTGAGTCATTTCTGAGGGTATAGACTGGGGGATACAGTCACTGAAATGATTTGAAGAAGTGAAAATATGTGCTAGTTTCGCAAAGGGCAGGGATGCTGTTAAAATGCAAACATCTGAATCAGAATGTTGCTATATGGTGGAAACTTGTTATAAGTTTAAAACAAGGTCCTTGAGACCGAGGAAATTACCTAGTTACATCAGGAATCTTGTTGTATCACAGTTAAAAAGCATGAGAATATAAAGAGCTGGGATCGTCAAAATCACCTTGTTATAACAGATACACTGTAACTTACATGTAGTAGTGGTGGTTATTTTACCTGACTACTAAGAAAGAATAAATGCTTGTTAGTAAGCAACCAGAGGACCGACAGCTTTAGGTCCTCTCTGAGGGACCTAGTAATGAGGATTAATGCCTTACCAAAGGGCAATAGCGCATCGCCTTGGTTTCGAACCCGGGTCGCCGGATTACAAGACCACTGCTCTACCAACTGAGCTATCGCGCCTCATCATTATATCATAGCTCTTTCTATTAATCGTACCTTCTCATCCGTGACTCCTTGTTATGAGATTGGCAGCCTAGAATATTTAAATCAAATCATGCCTCAAAACTCACTTATTTTCAGCAAATATGAAACTACTGACTTTATTGGAGGAGCCTACGCCTTTGAATGTTAAACAGATCTCAATTTTACCTACGGACGCCCAGAAATTCGTATCGGGTCATATCAAAAGGTGGTCATTCAAAAACTTTGCTCAAGATTAATCGTTGGAACCTGTTTAACACCATATACATTTGTAAATACTGTGAATCATAATCATCATCATCTTCGATGACCCAGACTATTGTTTAAACTACTACAAGTGCTTCATGGGACTATAGGCCTACAAGTGTTTCAAGAACTGATAAATTCAATAGAGATGGACTACTCTCTTTAAAAAAAAGAATGAATTTTCACTCTATTTTCACTTTCTTGGGAGTGACGTCCGTGATCACTTGTTTAGGAGTGAAAATCAATTGATTATAGAATGCTCTCTAAGAAGAAAAGAGTGAATGTATCTATTTTCACTACATTTTCACTCTCCAGAGGAGTGACATCCGTGATCACTCGATTTTTTTTAGAGAGTAGAGAGGGGGCTGTTCAAATCTACATTTTGTTTTTTAGACATTCTAAAGAAAAAGGTGAGCAAAGAGGAAAGACCTATGAGGAGGGGAGGGGAGGGGGATAAATAAAGGGCGAAGAAAAGGGGCAAGCGTCTACCGTAGAGTGAGAGACAGATCGACAGATAGACCAAGGTTTAAGAAAGAAGAACAGAAAGAAAGACAGTCCTGATTGAAGAGAAAAGGAGCGCATGGGAGAGACATTGTCAGCATACCTTTACTATTAACCTGACTACATAGTGCCTTTCACACTGCACATAACTTTTTAAAAGAAACCAACTTCAAGAAATGTTTAGTCCAAGAAAAGACTTTCTGTCAATCTCTGTTCTACATTTTTTACATAGAAATGCTTTTGTCGGAGGAGGTATTTTTTAAAGATTTCAACAAAAGTACAACAACTTTTTTGGAGGCAAATTTAGCTCAGATTGTATCGCACATGGTGAGAGGGATATTCAATTCAAAGAGAAAAGGTTACTGGTGAAAATTGGACACATATACTCCAAGCGATTTAACTTTACAAGATTTTAATGTCCAGAGGTTTAATTTCATAAAGTAAAGTTCAACAAAACAGGCTGTAAACATAAATTTAAAGCTTGAGGTGTTAAACATTGTGTTATCAGGTACTTAAGACAGTTCAGACGCAGCAATGGTTCTTAAAACTAGTTTACACTCAGTTTTAAATGACTGATCATTTGGTTAGCACGATAACTGTGATCAGCAGCTAGGCTTCAGTTGAAGTTGAGGGCCATGAGGATGCAAATAAGGCCTAAAAAAAAAATTGATGACTTGGCGTAACCCGCCCGACCCTATTTTTATCGCCGACCCTACGCTTTTTTATTTTTTTTGATCCGATTGCGTAAATATCGATATCGCAGTGGGGAAAACCCGGATGTTTGTTGCTTTCGTTCTGGGCTTTGCCGCGCCGTGTTTGGGCCAGCTCACGCGCCGAGTGCAGCGGGCAGGTACGCCATAGTACCGCTAGGCGATTGTATCCCCAACATGGCGTCCTATGGCGTTCAGTTCATTGTGAAAATACTAATATTTGTGAACAGCCCCTTCTAAACCTACATATTCACCTGTTTATCCTGTTGAAGACAGTGTCTGAGATATCTCAGGCTGGGGTCTGATGGAAACCTATTAATGCGTTCGTATGTTTGCATTTTATGTGCATGAGGGTGTATGTACATGTACATGTATGTATGCAGGGGGGGGGGCAGGTGTATGTATGCATCCCCCAGGTCCCAAGGTGATCAAGATTTCAACAATTTCTTGCTCACTTTGCTCACACAGTGTGTGTGTCCATATATGTGTGAGTGTGCGTGGAGTTATTTGAACATATTGTGGTCTACCCCTCTCATCAGATCATCCCCAAGGTCTGAGGACCTATCTACGCCACTGTATGTATGTATGTGTATGAATGGCTAATTTCATGTATGCAAATATAAGCAACAACAACATCAACAACAACAACAACAACAACAACAACAACAACAAAAAATTGCCCTACCTACCCTAATTTTCAGTGACCCGTTACGCCAAGTCATCAATTTTTTTTTTTAGGCCTAACTGTAAGGTTTTGCAAACTTGTAGTTACAACTACTGCTTGACTGGCTTGTAAAAGTAGCTGTAGTTTAAAACTTCAAACACATGTTTGTTCGTTTCCTGGGTGAACCATTGGTAATAGATAGAAGCAGGTCGTCATTTACAACGTTGATGTTCTGCTACTAAATAAGAAATTTCAAACTATGAAGATGCCACGTGAACATAGCCAAAGACAGTGTGGATACACCTACCTTCGACATACTACATACTGATCATTTCACAGGGAAACAGGTGACAATTTGGGCGCGTTCATGCTTGATTTTGACGGCCAGAATCAGGCATCTGTTACGCGTTTAGTTTAAAACACGGTTGCGTCTTAGCTCACTTTTGTAGAATCACCGAAAAACGGCGATCACGATCGCCGATCGTAAACTCACAAAAAGATGCGTTTACAATTTGTAAACGCGTTTAAATGGGGTCAACGCACTGACCTCTAGTGGGTCTACGTAGCATGCACAGTGAAGGTTTGCGAATCCAGCTGGAAGACCAATTAAGGCCACACAATGAGAATTGCCTGGGGGAGCCAGAGAAGTAAGCATGAACACTACATCGTGGAACTGCGATCACGATGAGCGTTTACGATGAGCGTTTCAGATCGCTCATTCTGCCTTCAAAATTTAAGCATGAACGCAGCCTTTGACACACATACAGTACTTTGGAAGCGAAGTTCAGGAAATCTAACTTCACCAAGTTATAGCCTGGATACATCTTCACTGTACGCCCCACTACGCAGGTCCACATACTGATCATTTCAGAGGTTAACGGGGGAGCATTAGACAGCCATTCTTTGAATGATAATCATAATGGTAATCTGGATATAGATAGCGCTTAATGTGTAATACCGTCTCTAAGTGCTTTGCAGATATTATTACACCGGTCATCAGATTCATTCATGCACATGTACACCATCTCCACTCCCTGAGGAGTAGTCTTACTATATAATCACTGTGAGGGCATATGGTAATTTCTAACACAACAGTTTCTTCATCATACCTGGTCCCCATTTTTCTCCTGGGTATTGAGTGGCAAATGTAGATTAATGCCTTGCCAAAGTAACATTGGTGCTGTATCGAGGATCAAACTTACGACCCTTGCATTCAAGTCAAGCGCTTAAACCACATGACTACAACAGGTCTCATGAAATAACTTTGCTTAATTTACATTTTGCAAATGTGTATACAATGTACACCTTCATCATGCACATGCTGACAAATTTCACCTGCAAACTTTAGGAGGTTCATGTACAGCTTTAAACTTTATGACAATAAACTTCACGAGATTTAAATTCATGAAGTTCCAGCACGGATATTGATACAGCTAAGAAATTGACACGCATACTTCAAGAAATCTAACTTTGTAAAATCATTACCAACATTATAAACAGCATACATGTACATGTACATGTACGGAATTTGAGAGATTGAACTGTGACGAGTTGAAATTTATGAAAATAAACTTTGCGAGATTTAACTTCACGAGATTCAATGTCACAAAGTGCCAGTGTGGATACGCCTAACCGCCTACTGTCTTGCATACATGTACTAGTACCCATGTAGTGCATACCGATCATTGCGGAGGGAAACAGGTGAGAATTTGACACATTATTCACATGGATGAACATGGCCAGGAAGCATTTACAGTATTTCAAAGGTGCAACTACAGTATCCTCAGCCACAGAGTACTCTCACACACATGTACTGTACATACAGTAGATGTATGTACTGGGTGGGGGGTGTTTCACAAAGATCCTAAGTTGAACTTATCTATTAAGTTGGACTTAAGGATGAAGTACAGTACAGTACATGTTCAGGGGTGTGTTTCACAAAGATCCTAAGTTGAACTTATCTCTAAGTTGGACTTAACAATTATGGAAAGCTGTTGGCATCTTTGAAAATATTTTGTAAAAGCTATTTTAAAGGTACTATGTCCCATTTGCAGGCCAAGAAAATGAAAAAGTTAAATTCCAACTGCATTTGAAAGATAATACTAATTTAGAACTTCCCTTAAAAAAGGTGGGGCTTGAAAATGTCTTAAAGTGAGAAAATAACGACTATTAGTTGTCAAATCGACTTTAAGGCTATAGAGCCCAAAAGTAATAGTCTTGATATTCAGACAATTGTACTGAATGGTCATACATTTTATGCTGTGCAAAGATTCAATCAGTTTAATCTTGGCCATCACAAGAAGTGGGTTATTGATGTAGACAAAAGCTCATGTACCCTTTACAACTCTTTTCATGTATGTTATTACCAAAGAAGAAAAAAAGACAGTCAGTCACTCAATAGTGTCTGACAGTGAAGTCTAGCAAGTAAACGGGTTTCCTTGCATAATTTTAATATGAGGACACTGCTAACGTTTAAATTTCACAGATAGGACATACATGACATATTCATAATTCCTGCAAAGTTCTACAGCATTTGAGGTTGGCTGCAAAAGGGACATAGTACCTTTAAAAGGCATTAAATGTTGATTCAAATCATTCATATTTTCTTTTATCATGGATATGTCACGTTCTTGATGTGGAAATTATAAATAATCTAAAATACTTGATTTTTCGCTTTTGAATATATTTTATTTTAAGGCTACAAATGGCTCTCCATAATTTTTAAGTCAAACTTAGAGGTAAGTTTGACTAAGGATCTTTGTGAAAGAAGGATCTATGTGAAACACCCCAGGTCAGGCCAGGTGTACTAGTGTCAAGTATATACAGTGCATGTACTATTGCACACAAGTATGTAAACATGTGCCAAAATGTTGTCACGAAAATGCGTACAACCAAATTGTCAGGAATAGAGCACCCCCTGCCCCTGATAATGCTAGAAAAAATACATCTCTCCAATCCCTATTCCCCCTCTTTACAACTCTCTCTCTCTCTCTCTCTCTCTCCTCTCTATCTCTAGCTTTAACTCAAATGAATACATATCTACAAATACACTCTCTCCCTCAATTAAATCAATGAAACAAGCTGGCCAAGTGTGAAGAAACCCTAGCAGCGCTTTTAATCACACCGTGCGTCTTGCACGCACCCCGGCGCCGCGGCTACCACCCAAGCCTATAGATCGACGACACCTCATTAATTAATCATTCATCCCTTTCCTAATTATGTGCCAAAAGATGATGGAATTGCTATTCACCGCCATGTATAAATCTCATTGAATTATGCATGGGTGATGACAAAAACTAACGTTAGCTGGGCTAGGTTTTGTGACTTTTGTCATATTCTTGCAATTAACTTCAATAAATTAATAATAATAATACAATATTTATAAAACGTGTAATAAACAAAAGTTTCTCTATGCATTGCAAAGAACTTCTATAAATCGCAATGTAAACACCAGACTATTAAAAGCACTTACAAATTTGGAATGATATTCTGTAAGATGGTACAACACAAAATAAGCTTGAGTTTTTACGTTGTGTTTATAATAATAATGATAAAAATGGATTCTTGTATAGCGCTCATATATCTGTAAGACTTGGCACTCCCGGCGCTCCGCAGTTATTACCCCGGCTTTTGCACGGCTGCTATTACGGTGCTCTAGCATTTCAAGGAATTAATTCCTTGAAGGTACCCATTTACATCACCTGGGTTGAGTGTGGCAAATGTAGATTAATGTCTTGCCAAAAAAGGACATTAGAGCCACAGCGGGACTCGAACCGTGAACATTGTGATTCACAGTCAGTCTGACGCAAGCTTACATGTGAGTGCATAGGGAAATTAAAAGTTATTTAATCTTTACCCGGAGTAAGTTTGGGGATATTATTATCCAGGAATCAGTTTGATAATCAGATATTGTGGCTTTCATTTGTCCAAAAAAGACAAATTACTAAATAAAATTCAAACCCTTGTTTTGAAAAGATTAATAGAAGTTACTGGCTTAAAGGACAATCGAACCCGTATAATTAGTTGATTTGAGTGAACGCAGGAAAAACAGATAAATAGAATGGCGAAAGTTTGAAATAAATCGGACCAATGATGAGTGTAAGCCTGAATCATTACGGTTTTTGTGCTAAACGTTTAACCGTTAAAAGTATACAGGCGGTTTTGTTCAACCGTTTTAAAAATACATGTATCTTTACATACATGTACATTCTCAAGCATTCGGTCATTCGATGAAGACATATTGTTTTTAGATCTCCGTACGGGAAGCCAAATCTTGCCGATTATTATTGTTTTAAGATCTCCGTAGGGGCAACAAAGTCTTGCCGATAATTATTGTTTTTAGATCTCCAAAGGGGCAACAGAGTCTTGCCGATAATTATTGTTTTTAGATCTCCATCGGGGCAACAAAGTCTTGCCGATAATTATTGTTTTTAGAGCTCCGTAGAGCGAAAGCGGGCAGCAAAGTCTTGCCGATAATTATTGTTTTTAGATCTCCATCGGGGCAACAAAGTCTTGCCGATAATTATTGTTTTTAGATCTCTGTCAGGGCAACAAAGTCTTGCCGATAATTATTGTTTTTAGATCTCTGTAGGGCGAAAGCGGGCAGCAAAGTCTTGCCGATAATTATTGTTTTTAGATCAGCATAGGGGCAGCAAAGTCTTGCCGATAATTATTGTTTTTAGATCTCCGTCGAGGCAACAAAGTCTTGCCAATAATTATTGTTTTTAGATCTCTGTCGGGGCAACAAAGTCTTGCCGATAATTGTTGTTTTTAGATCTCCGTAGGGCGAAAGCGGGCAGCAAAGTCTTGCCGATAATTATTGTTTTTAGATCAGCTTAGGGGCAGCAAAGTCTTGCCGATAATTATTGTTTTTAGATCAGCGTAGGGGCAACAAAGTCTTGCCGATAATTATTGTTTTTAGATCTCCGTCGAGGCAACAAAGTCTTGCCAATAATTATTGTTTTTAGATCTCTGTCGGGGCAACAAAGTCTTGCCGATAATTGTTGTTTTTAGATCTCCGTAGGGCGAAAGCGGGCAGCAAAGTCTTGCCGATAATTATTGTTTTTAGATCAGCTTAGGGGCAGCAAAGTCTTGCCGATAATTATTGTTTTTAGATCAGCGTAGGGGCAACAAAGTCTTGCTGATAATTATAGTTTTTAGATCTCAGTCGGGGCAACAAAGTCTTGCCGATAATTATTGTTTTTAGATCTCGGTCGGGGCAACAAAGTCTTGCCGATAATTATTGTTTTTAGATCTCCATACGGGAAGCCAAATCTTGCCGATTATTATTGTTTTAAGATCTCCGTAGGGGCAACAAAGTCTTGCCGATAATTATTGTTTTTAGATCTCCGAAGGGGCAACAAAGTCTTGCCGATAATTATTGTTTTTAGATCTCCGTCGAGGCAACAAAGTCTTGCCAATAATTATTGTTTTTAGATCTCTGTCGGGGCAACAAAGTCTTGCCGATAATTGTTGTTTTTAGATCTCCGTAGGGCGAAAGCGGGCAGCAAAGTCTTGCCGATAATTATTGTTTTTAGATCAGCGTAGGGGCAGCAAAGTTTTGCCGATAATTATTGTTTTTAGATCAGCGTAGGGGCAACAAAGTCTTGCTGATAATTATAGTTTTTAGATCTCAGTCGGGGCAACAAAGTCTTGCCGATAATTATTGTTTTTAGATCTCCGTCGGGGCAACAAAGACTTGCCGATAATTATTGTTTTTAGATCTATGTCGGGGCAGCAAAGTCTTGCTGATAATTATAGTTTTTAGATCTCCGTAGGGGCAACAAAGTCTTGCCGATAATTATTGTTTTTAGATCTCCAAAGGGGCAACAGAGTCTTGCCGATAATTATTGTTTTTAGATCTCCATCGGGGCAACAAAGTCTTGCCGATAATTATTGTTTTTAGAGCTCCGTAGAGCGAAAGCGGGCAGCAAAGTCTTGCCGATAATTATTGTTTTTAGATCTCCATCGGGGCAACAAAGTCTTGCCGATAATTATTGTTTTTAGATCTCTGTCAGGGCAACAAAGTCTTGCCGATAATTATTGTTTTTAGATCTCTGTAGGGCGAAAGCGGGCAGCAAAGTCTTGCCGATAATTATTGTTTTTAGATCAGCATACATGTAGGGGCAGCAAAGTCTTGCCGATAATTATTGTTTTTAGATCTCCGTCGAGGCAACAAAGTCTTGCCAATAATTATTGTTTTTAGATCTCTGTCGGGGCAACAAAGTCTTGCCGATAATTGTTGTTTTTAGATCTCCGTAGGGCGAAAGCGGGCAGCAAAGTCTTGCCGATAATTATTGTTTTTAGATCAGCTTAGGGGCAGCAAAGTCTTGCCGATAATTATTGTTTTTAGATCAGCGTAGGGGCAACAAAGTCTTGCCGATAATTATTGTTTTTAGATCTCCGTCGAGGCAACAAAGTCTTGCCAATAATTATTGTTTTTAGATCTCTGTCGGGGCAACAAAGTCTTGCCGATAATTGTTGTTTTTAGATCTCCGTAGGGCGAAAGCGGGCAGCAAAGTCTTGCTGATAATTATTGTTTTTAGATCAGCTTAGGGGCAGCAAAGTCTTGCCGATAATTATTGTTTTTAGATCAGCGTAGGGGCAACAAAGTCTTGCTGATAATTATAGTTTTTAGATCTCAGTCGGGGCAACAAAGTCTTGCCGATAATTATTGTTTTTAGATCTCAGTCGGGGCAACAAAGTCTTGCCGATAATTATTGTTTTTAGATCTCCATACGGGAAGCCAAATCTTGCCGATTATTATTGTTTTAAGATCTCCGTAGGGGCAACAAAGTCTTGCCGATAATTATTGTTTTTAGATCTCCGAAGGGGCAACAAAGTCTTGCCGATAATTATTGTTTTTAGATCTCCGTCGAGGCAACAAAGTCTTGCCAATAATTATTGTTTTTAGATCTCTGTCGGGGCAACAAAGTCTTGCCGATAATTGTTGTTTTTAGATCTCCGTAGGGCGAAAGCGGGCAGCAAAGTCTTGCCGATAATTATTGTTTTTAGATCAGCGTAGGGGCAGCAAAGTTTTGCCGATAATTATTGTTTTTAGATCAGCGTAGGGGCAACAAAGTCTTGCTGATAATTATAGTTTTTAGATCTCAGTCGGGGCAACAAAGTCTTGCCGATAATTATTGTTTTTAGATCTCCGTCGGGGCAACAAAGACTTGCCGATAATTATTGTTTTTAGATCTATGTCGGGGCAGCAAAGTCTTGCTGATAATTATAGTTTTTAGATCTCCGTAGGGGCAACAAAGTCTTGCCGATAATTATTGTTTTTAGATCTCCGTCGGGGCAACAAAGTCTTGCCGATAATTATTGTTTTAGATCTCCGTAGGGGCAACGAAGCCAATACGCTATCTTTTCCATATCCCCCCCCCCCAAAAAAAAAAAAAAAAAAAAAAATCTATAATACAACGTATGTATAGACAATATACTGACCCATTGCCCCTACTTTATTTATAACTGGATAAAATAACACCGGAACCTCAGGAAGGAAGGAAATGTTTCCAAAAGAGTGACACAAATAAAGGTGTACATGAGGATATGCACGCAGGTGATTTTCATTTTCCTCAAAATCAAAATTGAGCCTCACATTATGATAACACATAACGCTTCCTGCCCTGTACATGTACAGGGGGGGGTGTTTCACAAAGATCCTACGTTGAACTTATCCGTAAGTTGGACTTAACAATTATGGAAAGCCATTAGCATAGATCTATGAAACTATTTTGTAAAAGTTATTTTAAAAGGCATAAAATGTTGATTCAAATTTCAAATCGTTCATATTTTCTATTATCAAGGAAATTTCATGTTCTGGATGTGGAATGTATAAAAAGTCTAAAATACTTGAATTTTTGCTTTTGAATATGCTTTGTTTTAGGGAGCTGGCTCTCCATAGTTTTTAAGTCCAACTTAGAGTCAAGTTCGAATTGGGATCTTTATGAAACACCCCCCATGTTGTATTTCCAGCTTTTTTCTTCTCCTTCTCCATTGCACTGGCTTCCTTTGAAACAACGAATAATATGTTAATTACTTGTGTTTGTCGACGAAATACTCAATAATCAAGCTCCACAATATTTAGATACCTGATTGAATTTATATACACCTACAAGGGTATTAAGTCAGCCAGTGATCCTCTCCATCTCACATATTCAGTTACTCGCATTAGCCGCACATTAGCCAGTGATAGAACATTTACTGGATCTGCTTCAAAATACTGGAATGATCTACCACGTAGAATTTAATAGACATTACATGTACCTTCAGAAAGGCCTTGAAAACACACAATTTTTGTAGTTGTAAGCTTGTTTTTCTGATCACATGTATTTATGTAATTGTCATTTACTGTAAGCGCTTTGGGCCTTATGGGAAAAGCACGGCATATCAAAGTAGTAATAATTTTAATAATTTTATTAATTTACCAGCAATTTTCTTTGACCACAAAAACAGATATGTACATGTACACCTGTATATGTATAGAGAGAAGGCAAGAAAAAAAGAAAAAGTGAAAATTGAAAAACAATGTAAAGCTTGTATGAATAATTTGGTTATAATGTTTGTAACTGTAAATGTATTGATATTCAAGTCCATAGGGATTTGAACATGTAACAGTGCCAGGTCTGAATTTTTGACTACAGGTTTTAAAATTGGCAACAGGTTGAGTTATTCAATCTCAACTTAATGAAATTACTTATGAAATATATAATCATAAAAGTTGTTTTATCAACAAGCTTCCGAATATGGTTCAGATTACAATAGAGTGCACACGTTACAGCCCTCAACCAACCCCTGGAACTTACCTGACCATGAGGGAATTTGTTTTTGCATACATCAGTTCATACTCGTTTCACATTTCAATTCTACACATTTTAATTTTACACATTTTAATTTTACTTTGTGGACCACCCTGCGTCATGAGTCTTTCTGGAGCTTGAAAGATGACATTCTACAAACACTGAAGTGAGTGAGATTTCAATGAAAAGTATGACAATACTCTGTAAGAGGGATGTACTCCAATGGAAGAAGAAGAACATTTGCCAATCTCGACCCAGGTGAAGTAATGGGTGACAGTGTGTAGACATTCCTTAAAATGTTTGAGCACCTTATCATGGTAGCTTTGCTAAATTGGGTAACAATAAGATTGCAAGGCCCTTAGCAAGAACAGTGTTTATTATGATGAGACTGGACATTGAATAGTTTTTACAAAAATACAGTTATATACCACCGTTTTCAATATTATTGGTATGATGAAGAAAATAGCTGTAACCACAGGCATTGCGTCCAAATCAACTAGCAATTGGCAGAGCTACGTCCATGCCTACAGCATATTGAGAGAGATACATTGTAGTTGTAACACACAAACATATACAGTATATGATCAAAGGTCAATGCATGAAGTTCCATAGATTGACCTTTGACATACATGTGTGTGTGCGCATGTCACAACTATCTCACTTAATGTGCTATGGCCATTCCATGATTGCATTAAAATACCAGACAACAACGGACATGCAAGCTGGTCGGTCCTCTTTTCTTTTCTAATCTTTCCTTAAGATGCAGCCATACGGATCATTGTGGCAGTAACTTCACAGAAGCAGAAGCTTAAAACATAGCATTCAATATCATAACTCATACTGTACCGACGTTGGGGTGCGGGCGCACGTGTGCATGAAGTTAGAACGGTAATGATGATCATCATCATCATAATGTGAACTACTATTTTGAATTTAATGAGGAACTGAGATTACAGTCGCTAATTTCAAACACCTGCGTGCGCCTGCACCCCACTGTCGGTACAGTATGCAATTGTATTGTGCAGCAGTTTGCAGTGAAACCTGTGAGAAAGTGTACATTATAATTTCTTCGTTTTTTTTGGAAATATACTCCAAAAAAGATAAGAAAATCAACACAAAAAAGGATGAAAGATGACAACTTTTAAATCATGAACATTATTTGAACAATTGTTAAAGATTTAGTTGATCTTTGGTATGTTATAACTTATTGCAGGTAGGCCTAATCGTAGAATACCTCCATGCCGAAGTCACCAGTCAAAGCCTGGAATCGATTAGCGAACTACATGTAGCGCGTTACTGCCTGGTACAAAAGCGATACAGCAGTCAGCAGTCTACGTATTTCAACAAACAAAATTCAACTAGGCCTATTCACTTTTTTAGAATGCTAAACACTATGACGTGTTATAAGCTATGCAAAAACAGACACACAATACACTCACATATGAAATATTGCACTATGCATTACACTGTGTAAAAATCCCTTAGTCCCAGCTATGCCATTTTTTTCACATTGCAGAGAATTGAGCTCAGCAATTCAGTTGACAACTTGACACATTACAAATTTACCTTTAAATTTCCTCTTAGCTCTCGGGAGTATTCCAGTTTATGATGCCTGTTATCCCTGCTACACATATATCCACTTAAATACCAGAGAAATCCAGTTAAAAACTCACAGGAATCTCATGTCGTAGAACAATAAAATCGAGATGAAAATCCGTATTTCAACAGTTTATCCTAACACAATCGCGAGTTCGCGTTACAGGCATCAGCTAGCGTACGCTGAACCACACGGAGGGTTCGCTATGCAATAATCCCCTCACAATGCAGTTTATACACCGTGCTATATAGCTTATGCATAAACAAACTGCAGATCAATCCCCATACACAATTCAATCTTGAACTGGACTGACATGCCAATAAATCGGAGCCTGTAATTACCGTAAATATCACCGAATTCCAAGATACGAATACATATGGCGAAATCATAGAATGAAAATTGAGTACGAACCTTGAGTTTTAAGCGTATACGTCCAAAAGGTGTCGAAATCACTGTTTGAAACTGACTTTACCGCTTGCAAAGGTGGGCGCCATTTTCCCCCTCTAGGTTTCAGCTTTGGAAGAATCCATTGGTAAAACAAATAGGGGTGACGCTATCCTCGACCTAGAGAGATTTAACGGATATTTGTTCGTTATCTCTACTCTCTATCTCAAAACAAACTGTATTAATGAATCTCCGTTAATGACACTCTTACTTTAATTCTAACTACTCCTTTGAAGTATGTCTAAATTGAGAAGGATTTATCACATAACATTGTCCCTGTCTTTGGCAGATAAGTGCGGATGACCCTTCGATTAGAATCGACGTTTCCTTTGCGAGGTCGATCCGGGGTCACGTGAAGCGAACCGTGCGATATGATTGGCCAATTAACTTAAAAGACCTAATTATCAATAGAGAATCTGGCGTAAGGCTTGCTAAACTTTACTCACCGATTCTAGTGAATGGCATTTCGACACTCTGCTTTCATTATCGTTTTCTTGCTTTATATCCATTCTATTCGGAAATCTCTCAAAAGAATGTTCTTACTAATTGTTTGTTTAGGGAGGCGGCGAGTCCTTTGCTTCTCTAACCATCTATGACTTCTGAAATAAAGGTTACGGCAAGTGGTTCTGGCTTCAATGGTTGAATGAAAAGGCTGTTTGATCATGAAGGCCGAATATTGGTTGATTTTTAACAGGTGCATCAAAAGTACATCAAATTCATGTTAGCCTCTACTTCTTGTCCTCTTTGGCTGTGTAAAAGAGACAATTGCCATTCACAAAAATCATTTACCGTCAACACAAAACAAACAAATCTACTAAACAGATAACATTGAATTGTAGGCCTTACATGGAACTAGGCAATTTATTAAGATTTTGTTTCCATACTATATTCGCAAAAGACCGCAATGAGTAATATATTTAGCAGTAGGTGCATATTTAAACTTATCGGGCCTAACATCTTCCGTTCAATATGCACAAGACTGACTACGAGTTGTATTCAACCTCCTGCTTTGTGTTTCATCAACCCGTCCTCTCTCTTTCCCCTTCCTTTATTTCTCTATCTGTATCTCATTCTTTCTTTCTTTCTCTCAATTCCTCCTTCCCTCTTCTCTACTTGACTACCGCTCCCATTTTTACCTTCGACCCCCTTTTTCTCCTTTTCTGATATCTTCTCATGACATAAGTTTAATCTTTAAATTGTGAAGTGTAATATTCGGGGATTTATTAAGCGTAAATGTTTGTGATTGGTCTACTTTATTATTTTCATTTCGACATAAGGATTGATAATGGTTAGTTTTTGAGTTCCATCGTGGTTTGTATGTATTCTGTATATTTAATGTTGTAAACGGAATACTTTCAGTCCCTACCCTTGGGTTGCATGTTCAATGTTTCTATCATAACAAACCGATTCGTTCAATCAAAAACTATCAAATCAAAAAAATGTTTCTCTAATTATTTGTAAACGATAGAAACGAAATGCATATTTATTTCAAGTTTGAAAATGCAAAGTTATGATGAATATCGGTGAAGACGCTAAACCCTATTGATAAGGGCAAAATCATGTCCGTTTATGTTGAAGAAGAAAAAAACAAAGAAAAAACAAATGTATGTTTCAATCATTATTCATTATACAGTATTATTTTGTATACAGATCAAGTGTGACCATGAAAATATTCACAAAAACTTGGAAGATTAAGTTTGACATGAAGAGCAAAGAAGGAAGATTTGATTCTTGTATAGCGCCCATGTGTGGCGTTCCACAAAAAAAAGATTACAAAGTCAACATTTTAGTTTGTTTAGTAATTGTTTTCTCTTTTTTTGTGTGGTTAAAGATTTGGAAACATTTTATGTTATCCCCTGGAAAAATGTCCCGTTTTATTTGTTTTACCCTCTGTTTATAGATTTTAAAAGAACATTAAATGCTGCAACGCAAAATGTTTTATGAATAAACTTACATATCGCATTCTAATTTATTATGATCCATGTTGATGAGATTTGTTTTCATACCAGAAAGGGTGTAATAAATGAACAATGAAGACAGTGGTGTATTTGGGGAACATGTGCCACCCCAGTCGCCTGGGTATAGAATTTTGCATCCAAAAGGGAACATCAAACCGTGATGGCCCAATTATTTCTGTGTACATCACTTCCGAAATATAAGGCGTACTGAGATAAGTTTCTTTTTGATGGGGGGAGGGAACTTCACGTCTTGAATCAAGAAAATAGTATATAAATCCGATTAACATATTCATTCATTGTTTTTCTTTTCATCCCGGTATATGAGATATGTCTTCAAGAAAATCGGACACATTTTCATTTAATTTATCACAAGTATCTTCTCTATAAACTTTTTTTTTTAATATTTAAATTTGTCATACTTTCAAAGTGTGTTTGTTTTTAATAGTATATCAATTCTTTACGTTGTGCAAAAGTGTCCGTTTTCATTTTCATCCGGTTATCATAATTGTCAGATTTTATTGTTATGGATTTTCTCCATTATGTTTATTTTCATAGTCAGGCCTATGAAAACAAAATTAACTAGTTCCTGGAAAATACTAAACGTCTTCTTTCTCGGAGGTAACCGCATTTTAAACAATTAAGCTTATAGATACCAATCCATCTATACAAAATAAAGCAAAATCCCGCCGTCTACCCCTACCCCTTCCCTATATCCAAACCAAAATGACTAAATCATCCTGAGAAAGTCCTCTTGACAGCACCCATGGGCCTATTACAGCGGTGTATATTGCACCATTAAGCAGTATCCTTAGCAATTTACAGGGTTGTTTTACAAGCCCCTGTCTCTAAAGTAAAAAAAAAAAAAAAAAGGATAGTAAAACAGACAAATGAACATAAAAGATCCAAGCGTCTGGAGTCCCTACTGAAAAGTAACATCAAAAGCGAATAGAGGGAATCTACATTGCTATCTCTTTTGTGTCTATTGTGTCTTGTATGGTGACTTGTTATACCGTCTTTGTGCAGACGACAAGGCTTATTGATTTTAAGCAGATTCTTTTGCGCGCCCCCATTGAGCGGGTGCAGTGAACGGGTGGCTTTTGGGTACGAAGGAAACAATGAGGAGCTGGCGATATAAAAAAAACCAGTGGATAAGGTTTCGATGGTGTTTATATCGAGATGAGGGGGTTTCTGTTCTTACAAGTATCACCCTTATCTAGTGGATTCGACACTTAATTTAGTTATTGTTCCAATAATAACTCCCTTGATCACAATTTAGCAACCAATTTTGACTTCTGACCCTTACCAGCGACTGGCACACAGGACTTAATTTTGTCGATGTGCCTATCTATAAAATAAAAAAAACTTTTCTTCTTACAAATTTGACACACTGTTTTGTATCCTTTACTAAGTCTACGTGCATTGTTAGAAGTTGGAAGGGGGAGGGGCTGCTCATTGGCTTATTATTGTATTATAATCATGTTGCGACAGCTTTTCTGGAAACCTACAAATGTATGAAAAATATGGAGTTGGGTGCCCCGCCCCTAAGACGGACGCTCTTCATTTACATAGGATCTATGTCTTCGATGATGATAGTATTATGTACTGCATTTATAAGTACTAGTACCGAAACTACTACTAGTACTACTACTACTACTGCTGTTAATACTACTACTTCTGCTGCTACTACTACCACCACCAAAACTTCTACCGGCCAAAACTTTTACTACTACTTCTACTACTACTACTACTACTACTACTACTACTACTACTACTACTACTACTGCTGCTGCTGCTGCTGCTGCTGCTACTACTACCACTACTGCTGCTGCTGCTACCACTACTACTACTATACCACTATTACTTCTAACTACTGTACTACTTCTACAACCACTACTTCTATTAGATATACTACCACCAAACCTACTACTATATTAATAATAATAATAATATGATAAGAATTATAATTAGGATAATATAATAATAATAATGCCACTTCCTACGATGACGCTTAATGAGCAAGCCACTTCTCCTTTTTGGGTATATTTCAGAGTAAAATAAAACAGGGAGTTGGAATGGCTAAAATATTGCTATCTCTCAGCTGAAGATAACCGTTGAGGGCCTTTTCACTCCACCGAGCTGATGGGGAATAGAACTCCTTCATTTGCTTGGAGTAATGAACCTGGTTTGAGAACGCCCTCTCTTGACAATAACCATAAAGGAATTGTATTGCAAAACTTGAAAACCTGAAGCTTGTATGCGCTTCAACGCATTATTGTTTTGCGTAAAACTGCGACAACCATACTAATTATACGTGATTTCAAATATATTTTGATTAAACTTGTAGAGATATTCATATTGGCATATTGTTATTTATTTGAAGGGAAACGCTTTTTGAACACAACGGTGTGTAATCCGTAATTTCTTTTGTAAAACCAATGAAAGAAAACTGAATTGATATCAAATTCAAATGGCACCGGGAAAAAACATCTGTATAAGGCTTATATTTAGGGTATTTATCTTTCTAAATTGCATGTTTATGGAGAAATAGTTTCAGTCACGAATATCAAGCAATACCAACATCCTCAATTCAAATCAAAACAGAAAATGTTTAAATGTTGTTAATGATTACAAATTTGATAAAAAGCCCCGACCCTTAAAAAAAAAAAATATTAAATCTTTTTGAAATCGTTTTCTTTCTCTTCCCCTTTTAGAGTGGGGGTGGGGGGGGGGTTGTATTTTTGTTTGTTTGCTCGTTTTAATTAAACTCTTGTTAACCAGCATGCCCCTAATCGAGGCGATAAAATGTTACGTTGAAAACATTTGCTTCGCTCAATCGCATGATTTGATTGCGTAGAGGTTGTTTGTGTTTTATTTGATGTTGTTGATGTAAATTGTTGTTACTCTTGATTATGTTTTGTACTTCTTACACCTAATCTTCGAATGCATCAAAGCGTATTAAACGACACCATGTAAATAAGCCGAATTATATATAGTATTTTGTAATAAAAGAGGATAGCTTTAATCTTCTGTTATGCCTTTTCGCTTCGTTTCTAGTTTAAACCTACTCGATGTGAGGTAAAATGCATTTGTAATGTTGTTTGTCACGGACTTCCTATTTTCTCACACTCGCTTGCTACGCTCGATCACTTATAATTATAACACTAAAAGTTTCATTGATACACAACACTCATGTTCAGGACAAAATGCATGGAAATCTATTCATTTTCATTGTTGGACAGCTTTTTTCACTTCTATCCCTGGTTCACCTTACTCCTAAGATTATGATTGAGAAAAAGATTGTCTACCCCCCCCCCCCCCGCTCCTATTTGAAGTAAGCAAAAATGAAGATTTGTTTTACTAACAGGCGCTAAGCCCATTTTTTCACACATGTGTGCCCCCCCCCCCCATGCACCCTCACCTCGCCGTGCTCCTCCGCGTGAGTCTTGGAAGGCCATAATGTCCCTGAAATATTTATTAAAGAATTAACTTCGGGTAATTAAAATGGCCCCACCCCAACCGCCACCATCTTACACGCACACATACAACTGTCCAAGGCATATGACGTCGTCAATATTCCTGAAATCATGTTGCCAAAGCATGGGGAGAGGGACCCCTTAACCTTTCTACATGTTTTCAGCAGCTGGTACACCAGTATCGCCAAATTACTGATTGTGACGTCATTGTTGGATGACGTCATAATAGGCATGAGAGCCACTGGGTGCGCGTATGCACGCGTCGAGTAATCAAGCGCGTATTCAAAGCGGATTTCCGCTTTTTGTAAACAAAAGCGCAATGCATGGTGGGAAAATCTTAATTGCTTAATGACGTCACAATAGGCCGAAGCGATAGGTTGCGCGTATGAACGCGTCAAGTAGAAAGCGCGTATTCAAGCGCGCATTTCCGCTTTTTGTAAACAAAACCGCAATGCAAGGTGGTAATATTACGTGGAAGGATCATGTTGCGATTTTGATGGGTAATTCCGATGGTTAGAGAATTAATTCATACGGATCCAGCCGGCGGCAGAGGAGGGGGCCAAAGAGGGGGCCCAATTCGTGAGAAAGTATTTAGCGGCGAAACAACAACAACCAGCCGGGGGGGGGGGGGGGTAGTGAGCCATAATTTTTTTTTTTTTTTTTTTCTTACCCTCGAAAATTTGAAAAATCGTTCCCCCCTTGAGCGCCAGAGTGGGCCCATCTGCCTGCAGGAGGAAGGGGGGATTAAACTATTATCATAATTCGTCATTATCTACTAATTATTTACTGAAATCAAAACTTGAAGTTGGATTTTGAATTAAAAATAAACATCCAAACAAATACAGTGTGAGTCCAAAAAAGTTTACACCTAGAAAATTGCTTAGTATTTAAAAAATCATCTATGAGCAGTAAATTATTATACATATTATGAAAGAGTGTATTATCCCGAATCATTTAGTATCACTTTGTGTGGTTTGTGCTCACACTTGGATGAACAGGAGGCATTGTTTGCGAGAGTGTAAAAATCGACTTGCGCCAAAATTGCTTATGTGAATTTTGAATAAAACGATTGGAATGTTGGTATTAATTCGGTCTAGGCAGATCCAAATAACATTCCTAACAAAATGAATCATGCCACACGTATCAAATATCGAATATTAAATATCAACGAACATTTGCGCGCGGATCCACGTAGCGACTTTTCCGGCCCGGGCTCCCCCCCCCCCCTAGCCCCCCAAAGCGGTAAAAAAAATAGGATAATAACGTAAATTTAGCCTTTTAAAAACAAAAACCAAAAGCGGCCCCCCGACAAAACAATATGTATATTTTGCTTGTATATGTGCTCTTAACACCCCACACCTTCCCCCCCCCCCCTTATTCACCGGCCGGCTGAGTCGGCGCTGAATTTTGCATTAAAAAAACCGGACCCTCCCCCTCACACACAAACAAAAATTTGCTCTTACCCCCCCCCCCCCCCCCCCCCCCCCCCCCCCCCCCCGCTTATTCACCGGCCGGCTGAGTCGGCGCTAAATTGTTTCTCATCATGAATTGGGGCCCCCCCCCTCCTGCCGCTGGCTGGATCCGCCCCTGCGTGAGTGTGTGTGTGTGTGTGTGTGTGTGTGACTTTGCTTTTGCAAATCGCATATGCAATGCATTTCATTTGATACATTCAATTCATTTTCTCACTCCGCTAATCCCAACATAATACATACTGTAGGCATAACTTTGGCGCAAGTCGGCTTTTGCACTCTTGCGAACAATGCCTCCTGTTCATCCAGGCGTGAACACATACCACACAAAATTGATACCAAATGATTTGGAATAAAACACTCTTTTCATAATATGTATAATAATTTATACTGTTCATAGGTGATTTTTTTTTTGAATTAGCAATTTTCTAGGTGTAAACTTTATTTTGACTCACACGGTAGATAACAATGGTAGAAATAAAATACACAAAGTCAAAGAAATTGTCAAGTCTGACACATAAATACATGAATAATAATGTGCTACAATCAAATAATATATATGATGGTATCGTGTTCTCTGCTGTGACGATACATTCATTAGGAAAATATAAACTGGTAAAAGTTTAACCACACAAGAAAGCAGAAAACGCATTTTTTTTTGGATAAAATAAAAATGACAATTGAAATTAGATATAAATTAATACAAGTAAACTACATAAATACCAACACTACATAACTTTGAAAAAGGTCATGTGACTGGCGTACGTTAGCTATATATCTGAAGGAATTATACTTCAAAGTAGTAACTTTTTTGTTTTAGAGAATTATATTGCATTCGAGGAAACGAGAAAGATGTCAATAGGAGATATACAAAATGGACGGGAAAATGGAGAAAAGGAAAAAAGAAGAATGCGAATATGGTATTAAAAAGAGAAAGACTCGTTGGTATCAAAAAGGATGCAATTTCTTCCTTTCTAAAATTTTTCCCTACCCCACCCCTCCATTTCCTAAGACTTCAAACATTTTGGGGTGTTTGTCTCGAAACATTCGATAGACTTTTGTTGATTTTAATTTTTTGTGCGCCTTGAGTGCCATTATAGGCAGATATGTGCGCTATACAAATCTTAAATTATTATTATTATTATTAGGTCATTCCGTAGGCCCATAAGCCGTTTAAGAATTCTGGGTTTATAATTTTCCAATGTTTCACTCATCCATTTTCGAACTACTTTACTAGTATGATAAGCAGAAATTGGGAGTCTAGACACTTTAAAACATAAAACTTCTCTTTTGGAGTTTTGCCTTCGGATTTAACGGAAAATATTCGTCAAGCACGTCTTTGCAACAGTTTGTTCTTTATAATTTAGTCGAGCATGTTAAAACGGTTTTATTTGCTCAGAGTTACAAATGAAACTGTATTATGTTGTTAAAATTTTGTGTAATTTGTTTTTTTATAGCGCCTTGAGACTTGAGTAAGTAATTAGAAAAGTGCGCTTTATAAATATATATTATTTATAAGTTATTTATTTATAGGATTTATAAAATATTGCCTGCATGTAAACCTGTACGGACACACAGCATCTGATCTGGGTGTAGGCCGATGTTTAGGTGTACATAGGCCTATGAAGTCGCTTTCGAGCGTACCTTTGACAACAAAATACTAAATTCGGAGACCTAGTATCAATTCATGAAATGGACGCGGAAAACAAAACATTGCACTACCGTCTCTCTTTCATTGAGCCAAACTTTCTTTTTGTTGCATTATCCTTCAAAACCGCTACGATCTAGCGCCCACTATGGCCCATGCAATTCACAATTTTGTACGCGTTCTCCAACCCCGTTTTACCAAGACATGAATTTTCCGACGATCGCCATACCAGATTCCTGCCGATAATTTCCACTTTCTGGTGAGTTAATCTAAACGGCATTACTGGAGCATATTCTAGAAATTACACTCCTTTATTTGAGTTAAAAATGTCGTGATAGTGTTGATGATTTTGAATGATTTATCTCGTTTAATGATCTCGAGACGTTGTCGAAGTTCCGCCTTGTATTCTCAGTGTACGGTTAACACGCATTGTTTTTACACAGGCCGTGTGTGGCAATTGTCTCCTTTGTGTGGGTGTAAATAGGACCGGCGTGAAGTTAGTTACTTTTTCCTTATTGGATATTCAAAATGTGAAGTTAGTTTCTTATTCGATATTGGATATTCAATGTGAAGTTAGTTACTTATTCGATATTCGACATTCATTGTGAAGTTAGTTACTTTTTCCTTATTGGATATTCAAAACATGAATTTAGTTATTTATTCGATATTCAAAATAAGAATGCCATTTATTACAGGAGTTATTGGCCTACTATAAGGTCAAGAGGGATGAGGGCAACCCAGAATCAGTCAGCTGGCCGTCAAAAGGTGCGCCATATGAACCAGAGTCCAAGGACAAGTATATTCAATTTTTGGTATATTTCATCAATCAAAGTCTCATGGCAAGAGCCTGACGGCCTGGGCCGGGCAGCCACTGGTCCCTCAAGGTCAAGGAGGATGTGGGCAACCCAGAAACAGTCAGCTTGCCCCGGCCCAGGCCGTCAAGAGTGCGCCATGAACCAATATCCAAGGACAGTTAATATTCAATTTTTTTGGAATATTTTATTTCATCAATCAAAGTCTCATGACAAGAGCCTGACGGCCTGGGCCGGGCAGCCACTGGTCCCTCAGGGTCAAGGAGGATATGGGCAACCCAGAAACAGTCAGCTTGCCCCGGCCCAGGCCGTCAAAAGGTGCGCCATGAACCAATATCCAAGGACAAGTAATATTCAATTTTTTTTGAATATTTTATTTCATCAATCAAAGTTTCATGACAAGAGTCTGACGGCCTGGGCCGGGCAGCCACTGGTCCCTCAAGGTCAAGGAGGATGTGGGCAACCCAGAAACAGTCAGCTTGCCCCGGCCCAGGCCGTCAAAAGGTGCGCCATGAACCAATATCCAAGGACAAGTAATATTCAATTTTTGGAATATTTTATTCATCAATCAAAGTCTCATGACCAGAGCCTGACGGCCTGGGCCGGGCCACCACTGGTCCCTCAAGGTCAAGGAGGATGTGGGCAACCCAGAAACAGTCAGCTTGCCCCGGCCCAGGCCGTCAAAAGGTGCGCCATGAACCAATATCCAAGGACAGTTAATATTCAATTTTTTTGGAATATTTTATTTCATCAATCAAAGTCTCATGACAAGAGCCTGACGGCCTGGGCCGGGCAGCCACTGGTCCCTCAGGGTCAAGGAGGATGTGGACAACCCAGAAACAGTCAGCTTGCCCCGGCCCAGGCCGTCAAAAGGTGCACCATGAACCAATATCCAAGGACAAGTAATATTCAATTTTTGGAATATTTTATTTCATCAATCAAAGTCTCATGACAAGAGCCTGACGGCCTGGGCCGGGCAGCCACTGGTCCCTCAAGGTCAAGGAGGATGTGGGCAACCCAGAAACAGTCAGCTTGCCCCGGCCCAGGCCGTCAAAAGGTGCGCCATGAACCAATATCCAAGGACAAGTAATATTCAATTTTTGGAATATTTTATTCATCAATCAAAGTCTCATGGCAAGAGCCTGACGGCCTGGGCCGGGCAGCCACTGGTCCCTCAGGGTCAAGGAGGATGTGGGCAACCCAGAAACAGTAAGCTTGTTCCGGCCCAGGCCGTCAAAAGGTGCGCCATGAACCAATATCCAAGGACAAGTAATATTCAATTTTTGGAATATTTTATTCATCAATCAAAGTCTCATGACCAGAGCCTGACGGCCTGGGCCGGGCCGCCACTGGTCCCTCAAGGTCAAGGAGGATGTGGGCAACCCAGAAACAGTCAGCTTGCCCCGGCCCAGGCCGTCAAAAGGTGCGCCATGAACCAATATCCAAGGACAGTTAATATTCAATTTTTTTGGAATATTTTATTTCATCAATCAAAGTCTCATGACAAGAGCCTGACGGCCTGGGCCGGGCAGCCACTGGTCCCTCAGGGTCAAGGAGGATGTGGACAACCCAGAAACAGTCAGCTTGCCCCGGCCCAGGCCGTCAAAAGGTGCACCATGAACCAATATCCAAGGACAAGTAATATTCAATTTTTGGAATATTTTATTTCATCAATCAAAGTCTCATGACAAGAGCCTGACGGCCTGGGCCGGGCAGCCACTGGTCCCTCAAGGTCAAGGAGGATGTGGGCAACCCAGAAACAGTCAGCTTGCCCCGGCCCAGGCCGTCAAAAGGTGCGCCATGAACCAATATCCAAGGACAAGTAATATTCAATTTTTGGAATATTTTATTCATCGATCAAAGTCTCATGACCAGAGCCTGACGGCCTGGGCCGGGCAGCCACTGGTCCCTCAAGGTCAAGGAGGATGTGGGCAACCCAGAAACAGTCAGCTTGCCCCGGCCCAGGCCGTCAAAAGGTGCGCCATGAACCAATATCCAAGGACAGTTAATATTCAATTTTTTTGGAATATTTTATTTCATCAATCAAAGTCTCATGACAAGAGCCTGACGGCCTGGGCCGGGCAGCCACTGGTCCCTCAAGGTCAAGGAGGATGTGGGCAACCCAGAAACAGTCAGCTTGCCCCGGCCCAGGCCGTCAAGAGTGCGCCATGAACCAATATCCAAGGACAGTTAATATTCAATTTTTTTGGAATATTTTATTTCATCAATCAAAGTCTCATGACAAGAGCCTGACGGCCTGGGCCGGGCAGCCACTGGTCCCTCAGGGTCAAGGAGGATGTGGGCAACCCAGAAACAGTCAGCTTGCCCCGGCCCAGGCCGTCAAAAGGTGCGCCATGAACCAATATCCAAGGACAAGTAATATTCAATTTTTTTTGAATATTTTATTTCATCAATCAAAGTTTCATGACAAGAGTCTGACGGCCTGGGCCGGGCAGCCACTGGTCCCTCAAGGTCAAGGAGGATGTGGGCAACCCAGAAACAGTCAGCTTGCCCCGGCCCAGGCCGTCAAGAGTGCGCCATGAACCAATATCCAAGGACAGTTAATATTCAATTTTTTTGGAATATTTTATTTCATCAATCAAAGTCTCATGACAAGAGCCTGACGGCCTGGGCCGGGCAGCCACTGGTCCCTCAGGGTCAAGGAGGATGTGGGCAACCCAGAAACAGTCAG